CCTCCCTCTCCTCCTCCTCCTGTGTGGAGAGGTACTGGGGACTGAACCCAGGGGCTTAACCACTGAGCTGCACTCAGCCCTCTTTATGTTCTGAGACAGGGTCTCTTAAGTGGCTGACCCTGGCCTTGCACTGGGGATCCTCCTCCTCCAGTGCCTCGCAGTGGCTGGGATCCCAGGTGTGGCTGACCCACCTGGCTCACCTCTGGGGCTGACCTCAGCTGGCTCTTGGCCCCTTTCCCAGGGCACCGTTCCCGGCCCACAGCCCACACTTCGGAGCTCCTCTTGAGTGTTCCCGGGTGGCACATATGAAGGGGGCCGGAGCATCTCTGTAGACGGAGGTGCGTTGCTGCCCTTCCCAGCGGAGCCGTCCTGGGCCTCAGGCGGTCTGCGGGCGCCTGCTCCGGGTTCCGCCTGGCGTTGCCTTTTCCTTCATTCACGGGCACGGGCTCTGCTGGTGCTGAGCCCTAGGTCTGAGCTGGCATCACATCCTGGGGGGGGGGCTAAAGCCCCTTGGCCAGGAGAGAGGCCCGCAGCTTGGGAAGTCACCAGGGCTCAGGGGCATGGTGACAGTCCCTGGGGGCAGCTGTCGGGCCAGGCGTGGAGGATGGGAGAGGCCAGCTGGAGCTGTGAGGTGAGGGTCAGTGGCCTTCCTCCCACCTGGACGGTCGGTGTGTGCATGTCCCTCCTGCCTGGACCCATGCCCAGCTGGTGAGGCCACAGTGAGACTGGCAGGTCCTGACCCCAGGGAGGGTTTGCCCAACCCCAGCCTCTGCCAGGTTCGCCTGAGCACAGGAGGCTCTGAAGGTGCTTCTGCCCTGGCCCTGCCAGACTGGCAGGACCTGCTCCGGCAGGCTGAGGCTTTGCGGTCAACCGTTCAGCAAGGGACTGGAAGAGAAATGAGTAGAAGTATTTATGCTCAAATAATCTTTGAGGAAGATAATTTTTAAATTTCAATGAATGTCATAAAGACCTTAAAGCAGAAAAAGACGAACATGGAGATGAGATTAAGGCGAGAGCAAGGTGCTAGGAACGAGCAGGAAGGGGAGACCACGGGAGAGACCTAGGGCGTCCCCAGGCCTGCTCGGCATCCCTCATTGGGAGCTGTCCCTGCTGCCCTGCTGGGTGCCACTGTGAGGCAGGTAACTGAGGGTGCCAGGCCCTGGTCATTCCAAAACTTTTCAGCGTCTTCTGAAAAGACACTGTGGGGGAATCCATGTGAGTTTTCATTAAGTGACACAAAAGTTGACTGTGACCGGCTGGGCCTCCCTCATCCCAAGGGCAGGGCCCACGTGCTGCAGAGTATGGACATTCACGAGCAATCGAGGGACCCCTCAGACAGAAGGCCCCTTGCACACCCGGCTGGAAGGCGGTCTTGGACGGCCCTCGGGTGCCGCCCACGGGAGGCCTCCAGCTCAGCTCCAGGCTGCGGAAGCTGGGATTGTTGGAGCGCGCGCTTCAGGCTGCGGCGGCTGGGTCATAACAGGAGCCCGAAGGACGCGCTGCAGACTGAGATGCTGAAGCGCTGTGGGAGCTCTCTTCCACACATGTGAGCCAGTGACCGACCGCCAGTGACCCCCAAGGCTGGGGTGTTTAGCCAAGGTGCAGGTGTGGCCCCATGAGTGCAGAGACGCGGGTCCTCCTCAGCTGTGGGCATGGCGTCCTCCCATCTGCTGGCCGCAGAGGACGCACTCAGGCCTCTTCTCTCACAGGCAGCGAGATGCTGGCAAAATCAACTACATGTACGCTCAGTACGTCAAGAACACCATGGAGCCGCTCAATGTCCCCGACGTCAGCAGGGACCAAAGGCTGCCCTGGACGGTGAGTGCCTGCGGTCCACCCAAGGTGGAGGCTGCTACCGTCGCCTGCCCTGCTGCCCTCCCGGTGGGCTGGCCCTGGGCTCTTGTCTTGGGAGCTGGCGCTCCCTGGTTGGTGAGGGAGGACGCACAGTCGAGGGGAGTGGCTGGCCTGGTTCTCTCTGTGCTTTCTAGTTGTTTAAAGGAATGTGATCAGAGGCTAGATGCCAGGCCTGCAGCCGCCATTGCTCTTGCGGCATGGCACTCCTCGGAGCGTTGCTGGACTCCTCCATTTTACCCGTAGACATGACGCTCCTCCTGGTTCTGACTCCTGCAGTTGGTGCCCTGCCATGGTCAGCTCCCTGTGGGGACAAGGTGTCTTTGGACAGCACAGGGACCTTTCCTTGATGTGGGTGGCTCTGTCATTGTGTTTGAGCAGGGCATGTGCTCTAAGAGAGCCGCCCATGTCCTGTGCCCTTGCCCATCTGGGACACCTGTCAGACCAGCCACTCGGGCAGCAGGCACAGGGGAATCACTGAGTCGGATGGTGGGAGGCAGGCCGACCGGGGGTGGGCAGAGCGTGTGGACACTGGGCTTCAGCAGGGTGGTGGATGCTGAGTAAAACCTGCTGCTGAGCGTCAGGAGTTAAAGTGTCGGGACACCTGGTAGGCCACCTTAATAAAGGCCGGCTGCTGCTGTGGATCTTATGGCCACCCGCGTGTTCCGCTTCACGTTTGTCTGTAGTTAAAGGTGAGCATGCTCCTGGCTTCGGGTGAGGCTTCTGCTGGCAAGTTGGCCTCCTGTCACGTGGGCTGTACCTTTCTGTTTTCATCTAGAAGGAAAACACAGGAGCCGTGAGCCAGCAGCACATTACCAGTTTGCTCTGTACCCCCATAAAAAATGGGAAGAAGAATAAAGTCATAGGTAAAGTCTTTCTGCTAACCTGTCTCTGCACTTGCTCTTTGAAATGTATTTCCAACGACTTCTTTCGGGTATAAATTTAAAGAATAAATTGTCTAAAAGAAGCAATAAAAATTGGAATGCTAAAAGCCTTTTGAGATACTTGTAAGTTGGTGAATGCCAGCAGATATATTTGTTAGGTGTTTTATTAACCATAACTATCTTTGCCTGGGCACAGTGGTGCATACCACTTCTGGCTGCTTGGGAGGCTGAGGCAGGAGGATTGCAAGTTGGAGGCCTGCTTGGGCAACTAAGCCAGACCTAGTTTCAAACTTTGAAAAATAAAAATAAAGGTCTGGGTGTAGCTCAGTGGTAGAGCACTGCAGGCTTAATCCCCAGTACTAAGGAAAAAACAGATTTTTGTAATTATTATAATTCAATTTCACCAGAATTTTTTGTTTGAAAGCGGTGTATTAGAAGTTGGCAATGTGTGCTGTAATCTTGTTCCTTGGGTTCTGATTTTTTAAATATGTAGTTTAGTCATACGTTGTATTCATTTGTTCATTCAGTAAGTACATTTTGAGCTATACACCGTGCTAGCACTTGGGATAGATCAAGGAGCAGAGCAGAAATCCCAACCCTGGGGACCCTGTATTGGCACACAGAGGTTCAGGATGGTGGAAGAATGTGTTCTTAAGTGCACGATGCCCCCTGTTTTCAACGACATTTCCTTGGCATGATAGGTCACATGAAGTATAGGGCAGAGGGCATGTGACTTTACATGCCAATCCTCATGACTGACTTGGAAAAACATCTCCCCTGAGAACTTGGAAATAAAGGAAGACAAGTGCCTTCTAAAGATTAAACTTTAGAATTCAAACCCTAATTGAAGCAACACTTGGGTAAATCTACCTTGAAAAGTGTGAATAGTTTTGAGTTGCAAGACTTGACTGGGATTGGGTAGAGCAGAGTCTCGGCAGAAGGAGGAGGGGGGCGTACGCAGGAGGAGGGGTACAAGGTCAGCTTTGGAAGTGCCTGGCCAGGTCGAGGGCCGGGGAGAGCCTGTCCTGGGCTCCTGTGTTCTGACCTCACACACACCACTGCTTGGGGGAGCAGGAGGAGTAGGGGCAGCCTGTGGCCTCCTCGTCCTGTGCCAGGGAACATCCCCTTCGTCTGCCAGAGGGAAGGATGCAGTGTCCTGTGCCACAGTCTGGCTGGGCACAAAAAACCAGGAGGTCAGGAGCCACTTGTGGGTTCAAACAGGAACTACTTTATTGCCCCAACTCCACGGGAACTCAACCGGAACTGAACGGGAACTCGGGGAGAACTGAACGGGAACTCCACGGGAACTCCACGGGAACTCCACGGGAACTCTGTGGGAACTCAATGGGAACTCCGCAAGAACTCAACGGGAACTCTGTGGGAACTCAATGGGAACTCCGCAAGAACTCAAAAGTAGCGGGCACCCGAGGTAGCAGGAGCCGCCTTATTGCCAGACAGCAGAGGTTTATATACACAACTGAATACACAGCGTGTTTCAATTTAGCATCATCCAGTTACAGCAGTCAGTCATCATCTTAATAATTATACACAGCTTAACTTAACCATCATCATCCTAATGGCTCACTGGCGTTACTTCTCAACCACTCCTTCTGGCAAAATGTCAGGTGCCATCTTGACTCGGCTGTGGCTCTCAACAGTCGTGTGCCCTGGACACTCTGGTGCTGATGACCCCTTCCTGTTGAGCCGTGGGCTTGGCCTGATAAGGACGGGGCCAGCCTCTCCTGGTTGTGTGCGAAGAAGGTCCTGGTTTCATAAATGAGTCTCCTGGACTTGGTCACTGTCACTCCGCACAGAGGTGGTCTGCTGTCTAGCCTGGGGGGGAGTCGGCCTGTTGAGCTCATGTTGCCCGCCTACTGGGAGCTGCTGGCCGCGGCTCCACTGCCATGCTTGGAACACAGCAGGCCATGAGTGTGACTCTCCTCAGGCCACTGTCCCCCAGACCAGCACAGAAGAGGGCGAGGCCTCAGGAGGGACGCCAGGGCAGGGTCACTCGGTGGCCACAGGCCAAGGGGAAGGTCAGCCGTCTTGTGCCTCCTGGGAGCCTGCAGGTCACGGGAAGCTGCCTGGGACCTGGGGAACGGGGGTGGGCCGCAGAAGAGCCTTGTTTGCCAGCCAGGTGCCCGCTGCCCGGCCGCTCCTGCACTCCGCCCAGTGGTCCTGGAGGAACGGCAAGGGCTCGGCCTGGGAGGGGGACCCCCGCAGGCCCCCGCTCCCTGTCCCCTGGAGAGGTCCAGGGCGGGCCACACACCTCTGAAGAGGGGACTCTGCAGCCCTCAGTCTACTCAGGACTCATGCCTGCCATCCTGCCACTGTTCAGACAGAGGCGCAAAGGGCTTTAGAAGCAGCAGCGCAGTCCGCCTGGGCACACCGCCGGTCAGTCTGCCCAGAGTGGACGAGCCTTGGTTTCCAGGGAAGGTCCCTGTAACAGAAATAACAGATCACTCCACCTCCTCTGTGTGGCTCGGAGGGCAGGAGACGCCTGCATTGTCCCCAGGGTGAGGAGGAAACGGCCCTGCTGTTTGTAAACTCAGGAGACCAGAAGAGGATTGGAGCACCCTCATTCCCGTGGATGCCGCGTGGAAAGCCCGTGGCCCGGGTCTCTGCCCGGCCTCTGGGCTCCGAGGGCCCGTGGAGCTGCTGCAGAGCAGAGCACCCACTAAGAGGTCTAAACCTGAGCGTCACACCGCCACATGGCCATGGCTTGACAGAGGAGAGCCGACCCGCCTTCGTCACCCGGTGTGCCGGGAAGCTGGCTGCCACCGTGCTCCTCACGACGACAAGTCCCTGTGTGACATTTCCTCCTCGGTCTCTGACTGCCAGGATCACACAGGGAGGCCGTACCCAGGAGGGAGCCTCAGGTACAGAAGTGCATCTGCAATGTCACCTGGCCATGGGTCACCTCACACCAGCCCTTGCTCCACGGTCAGCGGCCCGTGACTATTGGGGCACATCTGTTGGCCTGTGGGAGCTGCCGGAGCACCCTGCTTTACCACGCCGCAGAGGACGCCGTGCTTAGCCCCCAGACCTGCGCCTGCCGAAGTGCTCCCTGCGGGCCTCGGTGACACGCCCATCTTAGTCTGTTGGTGTGGGCTTCAGATGGTGACTCTTAGGGTAGGTGACCTCTCACCTGTGTGCCTGCGTGAGTCCAAGGCATGAACCAGATTCTCCAGGTACCAGGTGAGAGTGTCACTACACTCTGTCCCTGGGTGAGTTCTGTCCCGGCCGGTCACCGTTTGTTTGCTGGTGACATACCCGCTGATGTTTCCTGGGGCAGATGGTGTGCAGCCCTGGGCCGCCTTGTGTGTTGTTGCTTGTCACCAAAGTCCCCAGTCTTCCTGGTGAGAAAGTTGTAAATCCTGCCTAGTTCCAGTGCCACCAGGGATAGAACTGCAGGGCAGAAGAACTGGAAGAAAACAAAGGGAAGGTGATGGCCCTGACCATGCAGCGAGCCCATGGCGAGCCCACAGTGGGCCCACAGCCAGGCCCACAGCCAGCCCCACGGCCAGCCCCACGGCGAGCCGCACGGCCAGCCCCCACAGGGAACCCACAGCCAGCCCCAC